ATTTTATTTTGTCAATATACAATGTGGTTGATTATTGTGGCTCATTATCGAAACCTCCCTCCATCCTCCCTCTCCCCCCGCCCCAACCACCTCCTTTCTGTTCTCTTGTTATATCAACTTCAAGGAATTGCAATTGTTGCATCTTCTTCCATCCCCCCAGGTTATTTGTGTATTTATTTATTTTTTTCCTTTTTGTCTTTTTTCGTGACCAGTAACGGGATCGCAACCCTCAGTGTTGCGCCCGCACCGCGCTCAACCAGTGAGCGGACCGGTCTCTATATGGGATCCGAACCCTCGGTGGGAGTGCCGCCGCGCTCTTAACTGCCGCACTCTACCGAGTGCACCACCAGGCCGGCCTTATTTATTTATTTTTAGCTCCTACAAATAAGTGAGAACATGTGATATTTCTCTTTCTGTGCCTGTCTCATTTCACTTAATATAATTCTCTCTAGGTCCATCAATGTCATTGCAAATGGCAGTATTTCATTCTTTTTTATAGCAGAGTAGTATTCTGTTGTGTAGATATACCACATTTTCCATATCCACTCATCTGATTTGGGCTGATTCCAGCTCTTAACTATTGTAAAGAGTGCTGCAATGAACAATAGGGAACAGGTATACCTTCGACTTGATGATTTCCATTCCTCTGGCTATATTCCCAGCAGTGGGATAGATGGGTCATATGGTAGATCTATCTGCAATTGTTTGAGGAACCTCCATACCATTTTCCATAGAGGCTGCAACATTTTGCAGTCCCAACAACAATTTATGAGAGTTCCTCTTTCTCCACAACCTCGCCAGCATTTATCGTTCACAGTCTTTAGGATTTTAGCCATCCTAACTGGGGTGAGATAGTATCTCAGTGTGGTTTTGATTTGCATTTCCCGAATGCTGAGTGATGTTGAGCATTTTTTCATTTCCTTTGGTTATATACCTAGTAGGATTCCTGGATCATATGGCAGATTTATCTGTAGGTGTTTGAGAAACTGCCATACTGTTCTTCATAATGGCTGTATTAATTTATAGTCCCACCAACAGTGTAGGAGGGTTCCCCTTTCCCCACATCCTTGCCCGCATTTGTTATTCTCTGTCATTTTGATAATTGCTGGTCTAACTGGGGTGAGATGCCATCTCAGAGTGGTTTTGATTTGCATTTCCCTGATGATTAGTGATGTTGAGCATTTTTTTCATGTACCTGTTGGCCATTTGTATGTCTTCCTTTGAAAAATGTCTATTCATCTCCTTTGCCCATTTTTTAATTGGATTATTTGGTTTTTTGCTGTGTAGTTGTGTGAGTTTCTTGTGTATTCTGGATAATAATCCCTTGTCAAATGTACAGTCTGCAAATATTTTCTCCCATTTCATAAGTTGTCTTTCCACTCAATTGTTTCCTGCTGTGCAGAAACTTTTTAGTTTGATATAATCCCATTTTTTTTCTTCTGTTGCTTGTGCTTTTGGGGTCTTATTCATAAAGTCTTTGCCCAGTCTTACTTCCTGGAGTGTTTCCCCTTTGTTTTCTTTTAGTAATTTTATGGTTTCAGGTCTTATATTTAAATCTTTAATCCATTTTGAATTGATTTTGGTATATGGTGAGAGGTCCAGTTCCATTCTTCTACATATGGATGTCCAATTATCTCAGTACCATTTATTAAAAAGGCAGTCTTTCCCCCAATGTATGTTCTTGTTGCCTTTTTCAAAAATCAGCTGGCGGTAAGTATGTGGGTTGATTTCTGGGTTCTCTATTCTGTTCTATTGGTCCTAGTGTCTGTTTTTATGCCGGTACCATGCTGTTTTGGTTACAATAGCTTTGTAATATAATTTGAAGTTGGGTAGTGTTATACCTCCAACATTTTTTTTGTTTGTTTGTTTTTTGCTCGAGATTGCATTGGCTATTCAGGGTCTTTTGTTTTTCCATGTGAATGCTAGGATTGTTTTTTCTATTTCTGTGAAAAATGTCCTTGGTATTTTGATGGGGATTACATTGAATCTGTAGATTGCTTTGGGTAGTATGGACATTTTTGTGATGTTAACTCTTCCAATTCAAGAGCATGGTATGTCTTTCCACATGTTTGTGTCTTCTCTAATTTCTTTCAGTAGTGTTTTGTCATTCACCTCCTTGGTTAAATTATTCCTAGGAATTTTACTTTTTGGTGACTATTGTAAATGGGCTTGCTTTCCTGATTTCTTTTTCTGCTAATTAGTTATTGGAGTATAAAAACACTACTAATTTTTTGGTGTTGATTTTGTATTTGGCAACATAACTGAAATTGTTAATCAGCTCTAAGAGTTTTTTGGTAGAGTCTTTAGGCTTTTCTATATATAAGATCATGTCATCTACAAACAGGGACAATTTGACTATGTCCTTTCCAATCTGGATGCCCTTTATTTCTTTCTCTTGCCTGATTGCTCTGGCTAGAACTTCCAATACTATATTAAATAGGAGTGGTGAGAGGGGGCATCTTTGTCTTGTTCCCATTCAGGATGATATTGGTGATTGGTTTGTCATAGATGGCTTTTATTGTGATAAGATAATTTCCTTCTATACCTAATTTGCTGAGTCTTTATCATGAAGCAATGTTGAATTTTGTCAAATGCTTTATGTACATCTATTGAGATAGTCATACGTTTTTTTGCTCTTGGTTTTGTTGATGTCATATTTACCGACTTGTGTATGTTGAAACATCCTTGCATCCTTGAGATGAATCTCACTAGATCATGGTGTATAATTTTATTGATGTGTTGCTGTACTCTATTGCTAATATTTTGTTGAGGATTTTTGCATCTATGTTCATCAAGGACATTGGCCTGTATTTTTTCATTCTTTCTTTCTTTTTTTTTTTTTGTATCTTTGCCTGGTTTGGGTATCAGGGTGATGCAGGCCTCATAAAATGAGTTTGGGAAAATGGCTTCCATTTCAATTTTTTGGAATTGTTTGAAGAGAACTGGTATTAATTCCCCTTTAAATGTTTGATAGAATTCAGACGTACAGTCACCTGTTCCTGAGCTTTTCTTTTTTGGAAGATTGCTGATTACTACTTCAATCTTGTTGCTTGTTATTGGTCTGTTCAGGTTCTCTACTTCTTCTTGGTTTACTCTGGGTAATTTGTATGAGTCCATAAATATATCTCTTTCCTCCAGGTTTTCATATTTGTTGGTGTATAGTTGTTTATAATTGTCTCTAATGATTCTTTGTATTTCTGTGGTATTGGTTGCAATGTCTCCCTTTTCATTTCTGATTTTTTTTTTATTTGGGTCTTCCTTCTTCTTTTTATTTTTGTTAACCTAGCTAATCATTTGCCTATTTTATTTATCTTCTCAAAAAACCAACTTTTTGTTTCATTGATTTTTGTATCACTTTTTGGGTCTCCATTTCATTTAGTTCTGCTCTGATCTTAATTATTTCTTTCCACGTACTACTTTTAGGATTGGATTGTCATTTTTTTTCTAGTTCTTTGAGGTGTAGCATTAGGTCATTTTTTGAAGTC